CAATCCTATCCCGCAGCAGCTTTTACAGATGCAAAATCCATCAGGTTTTATCCTTCAATAATAAATTTAGGGGACATGGTGGCTCAGTGGCTAAGACACTGAGCTTGTTGATCGAAAGGTCGGCAGTTCAGTGCTTCGAATCCCTAGTACCTTGTAATGGAGTGAGCTCCCGTTACTTGTCCCAGCTACTGCCAACCTAGTAGTTCGAAAGCACATAAAAATGCAAGTAGAAAAAACAGGGAGTGAGCTCCCGTTACTTGTCCCAGCTACTGCCAACCTAGCAGTTCGAAAGCACATAAAAATGCAAGTAGAAAAACAGGGACCACCTTTGGTGGGAAGGTAACAGCGTTCCATGCGCCTTTGGCGTTTAGTCATGCCGGCCACATGACCACGGAGATGTCTTCGGACAGCGCTGGCTCTTCAGCTTAGAAACGGAGATGAGCACCACCCCGTAGAGTCGGGAACGACTAGCACATATGTGAGAGGGAACCTTTACCTTTACTAAATTCATGAGATAATGTCAGCAATGACTGAAACCAAGGTGAATTCCATGATGATGGTAGCTTTCTGATAATTCAAGAATGGCTAGAGAATATCCTAACTAGTTGTGTGGAAAGGATATTGCCCAGAACTTGCAAATAAAAATGCATAAACATAAATATAAAAATAACTCCCTTCACACTACAGCTCTTTACAGAAAATCTAAGACTGTGTTTACAAAACATGCATATTTATTCATAGTTACCATGGTTTATCAAATTAACCTAATTTAAACAACCGCGTGGGCTGGGGCAAAATGTATGCAGTGCAGTGAGGTAGTATGTTAAGCAAGGGTGGTGAGTTTTGCTATATTTAGTTTGTAGGCTTGACACAACCTGCTAAGTCACAAGCAAGAAAACTACATTGTGTCTTAGCATGTAATGAAAACACGGCCTGTGTGCAGCAGAAAAGAGGAAGGTGTACACCTTCATTCCTGTAGAAGCTTGACTTGATCACTCAATTATTCCGCTTTAAGTTGTTTATTTAAACATAGGTGGAATGTAATAAAGGTGGAATGTAAATAAATGCATGCATAGATACATAAAGATAGATAGATAGATAGATAGATAGATGGATGGATGGATGGATGGATAGGATAGGATAGGATAGAATAGAATAGAATAGAATTCTTTATTGGCCAAGTGTGATTGGACACACAAGGAATTTGTCTTTGGTGCATATGCTCTCAGTGTACATAAAAGGAAAAAAAGAAAAAAAATACATTTTATTTTATTTTATTTTATTTTATATTGGATTTCTATACCACCCTTCTCCCTGAGGACTCAGGGCGGTGTACAGCCAGATTAAAAAACATGCAGAACAAATATTAAAAACAATTAAAAGATATATAAATTTGGCCCAATTAAAACTCATTTACCAATTAAAAACGTTTAAAACATTTAAAAACAGTTAAAAATTTCATCTTAAGCCAGCCCGGCTTGTTTAAATAAATGGGTTTTAAGGGCGCGACGGAAGGCACTGAGGTCTTGGATTCTCCTTATCTCTGGGGGGAGCTGATTCCAGAGGGTAGGTGCCCCCACAGAGAAGGCTCTCCCCCTGGGGGTCACCAACCTACATTGTCTGGCTGATGGCACCCCGAGGAGGCCCTCTCTGTGGGAGCGCACGGGTCGATGGGAGGTCGTTGGTAGCAGCAGGCGGTCTCGAAGATAGTTAGGCCCTATGCCATGGAGCGCTTTAAAGGTGATAACCAACACCTTGAAGCGCACCCGGAAGACAACTGGGAGCCAGTGCAGCTCGCGCAGGAGCGGTGTTACATGGGAGCGCCATGCTGCTCCTGTCACTACCCGCGCTGCTGCGTTCTGGACCAGCTGGAGCCTCCGGGTGCTCCTCAAGGGGAGCCCCATGTAGAGAGCGTTGCAATAGTCAAGGCGAGAGGTGACGAGGGCGTGAGTGACTGTGCACAGGGAATCCCGATCAAGAAAGGGCCGCAACTGGCGAATCAGGCGAACCTGACAAAAGGTCCCCCTGGTTACAGCCGTCAGATGTTCCTCCAAGGACAGCTGCATATCCAGGAGGACTCCCAGATTGCGAGCCCTCTCTGTGGGGGCCAATGACTCGCCCCCAATAGTCAGTGATGGAGTCAACTGACTATATCGGGATGCCGGGAGCCACAGCCACTCAGTCTTGGAAGGGTTGAGCTTGAGCCTGTTCCTCCCCATCCAGACCCGTACAGCCTCCAGGCACTGGGACATCACTTCAAGGGCATCGTTGGGGTGGCCTGGGGTGGAGATGTACAGCTGGGTGTCATCAGCGTACTGGTGGTATCTCACCCCAAAGCCACGGATGATCTCACCCAGCGGCTTCACATAAATGTTGAACAGAAGGGGCGAGAGGACCGATCCCTGCGGCACTCCACAAATGAGAGGCCTCGAGGTCGACCTCTGCCCCCCTGCCAACACAAACTGCGACCGGTCGGAGAGAAAGGAGGAGAACCACCGCAACACGGTGCCTCCCACCCCCAACTCTTCCAGCCGGTGCAGCATGATACCATGGTCGATGGTATCAAAAGCCGCTGAGAGGTCTAACAGGACCAGAACAGAGGAACAACCCCTGTCCCGAGCCCTCCAGAGATCATCCACCAACGCGACCAATGCCGTTTCTGTGCTGTGCCCAGACCTGAAACCCGACTGGAACGGATCTAGATAAGATGTTTCCTCCAGGAATTGCGGAAACTGTCGTGCGACCACACTCTCAACAACCTTCGCCATAAAGCGAAGGTTGGAGACAGGACGATAGTTGGCCAATATTGCCGGATCCAGGGACGGCTTCTTGAGGAGAGGCCTCACCACCGCCTCTTTCAAGGCGGTGGGGAAGTAACCCTCACTCAACGAAGCATTGATAACACCCTGGAGCCAGCCTCGTGTAACCTCCCGGGAAGCCAGTACCAACCAGGAGGGACACGGGTCCAGTAAACATGTGGCCGCACTAAGTCTCCCCAAAATCCTGTCCACATCATCAGGAGTCACAGCATCAAACTCCTCCCAGATAACATTAATCAAGAATAAAAAGATACAACACCTAGTGATAGTCCTAGGTTACTAATAAGCAATCAAATCATACTAGGAAACAAACAGAACAGTATAAATTGTAAAAATATAAGCAACATGGTTATAGTCATAAGTGGGAGGAGATGGGTAATAGGAAGGAAGAGAAGAATAATAGTAATACAGTCTTAGTAAATAGTCTGACAGTGTTGAGGGAATTGTTTGTTGGGCAGAGTGATGGCATTCGGGAAAAAACTGTCCTTGTGTCTAGTTGTTCTGGTGTGCTGTGCCCTATAGTGTTGTTTTGAGGGTAGAAGTTGAAGCAATTTATGTCCAGGGTGTGAGTGGTCTGTAGATATTTTCTCAGCCCTCTTTTTGACTCGTGCAGTATACAGGTCCTCAATGGAAGGCAGGTTGGTAGCCATTATTTTTTCTGCAGTTCTAATTATCCTCTGAAGTCTGGGTCTGTCTTGTTTGGTTGCAGAGCCAAACCAGATAGTTAAAGAGATGCAGATGACAGACTCAATAATTCCTCTGTAGAACTGAATCAGCAGCTCTTTGGGCAGTTTGAGCTTTCTGAGTTGGCGCAGAAAGAACTTTCTTTGTTGTGCTTTTTTGATGACGTTTTTGATGTTAGGTGTCTTGAGATATGATAGAACCTAAAAACTTGTAGGTCTCTACTGTGTTGTCTAGTATTGTAAGAGGTGGTAATATAGGAGGGTTTCTCCTAAAATCTACCACCATTTCTACGGTTTTGAGTGTGTTTAGTTCAAGATTGTTCCAGTTGCACCACAAGGCTAGTTGTTCAACCTCCCGTCTGTATGCAGATAGATAGATAGATAGATAGATAGATAGATAGATAGATAGATAATAGATAGAGATGATCAGTGGTTCTCAACCTTCTTAATGCTGCGACCCTTTAATACAGTTCTTCATGTTGTGGTGACCCCCAACCATAAAATTATTCCTAAAACCATTGAAAATATGTGTTTTCCGATGGTCTTAGGTGACTAATAGATAGATACAGTATTTAGGTAGGTAGATAGATAGATGATAGATAGAGATGATAGATGATAGATATTTAGGTAGGTAGGTAGGTAGGTAGATAGAAATATAGATATTTAGATAGAGATGATAGATAGAGATGATAAATGATACAGATGATATAGATGATAGAGAAGATAGAGATGATTGATTGATAGATAGAAATATAGATAGCTATTTAGATATAGATGATAGATATAGATGATAGATGATAGAGATGATAGATAGAGAAGATATAGATGATAGAGAAGATATAGATGATAGATAGATAGAGAAGATATAGATGATAGATAGATAGATATGGAAGATATAGATGAGAGAGAGAGAGAGAGAGATGGAAGATATAGATGATAGACAGACAGACAGACAAGACAGATAGATTATAGGGAAGTGAGAGTGAAAGAGATTGTAGGGAATAACAAAATCAAATCAAGAAATACACCCCGGACTAATCAAACGGGCGCTTTCACACAACGTGAAAATCACCCACGTGGAACGCCCGTAGAAATCTAACCAAGGTTAACTGTAACCAAAGTGAGCTCAGCCCAAAAGGGAAAAAGAGTCGTGATATTTTGGAGGGGGGGAGGGGAGGGGTGCCTCCCTTTCCCCCCCCCCCCCCCAAAAAAGCGTTACTCGTAGCCGCTTCTCCCGGCCGGCAAGCCCGGGCACGCGACAGTCCCTCGGCAACTTTTCTCTGCAGGCAGCAGCGCGGCGATTCAGCGGCGGCGGCAGAAGCAGCATTTCCAAAGACGTCCAATGGCGATCCGAGCCCGGGCGGGCAATTGTCCAGTCCAATGAGAATCCGAGGAGCCTCTGTACCGTCTGCCAATCGGGCCGCCTGTCACAGGAGCTGTCCCTGGAAGAGGTGGTGGAGGGGGGGGGGGTGAGGAGGAAGCGCCGGAGCCCGGCTCAGTCGCCCTGGGCTGCGGATTGGAGGCTGGCGGGAGCGCTGTGCCCGCGTCTGCTTGCAGGCAGGAGCACGTTGGGAAAGCGGCGGGGCGAAGGCGGCTTGGCTCCAGCCTGGGAGGGGCGGTGGGTGGGTAAAGTGCCGCCGCTTGCCGCCGCTTGCTTCAGCCCGGGAGGCTGGCAGGTGAGCCGCGGCAACAACCGAGGTGATCCGCGGCGATCGCTCCTTTGGAAACCGAGCGAAAGGCTTTGCGGAGCGGACCGTCTCGCTGGGAAAGGTAGGTCTTTTGTTCGGGTGGTTTTCTTTAACCCACCGCCGGGCTCCAGACCCAGCGCCGATCGTTCTGGATCCGGGAAGAACTCGGTCTTGCCTGCCTCCCCTTCTTCTTCCCTTCCGAGGCTGGTCAAAGGGGATATGCAGGATTCCCGGGGTCTTTTGCCGGACGCGGCGTCCTTCTGCTGACGGGTGGTCGCATCCCGGCTCGGCGAGGAGGAAGGAGCTTGAGAAAAAAAAATACCCTGAAACCAGAGGAAGGGGGGTGGTGGTGGACTGAGAGATGGGAATGCGAGAAGGGAAAAAGTTGCCTCTGAGCGAGTGCAGAGCGCCCAACCGTCCCGCTCATCCTTTCTAGCGGGGGGGTAGGGGGCGATTTTGGAGGAAGAAGGGGCTGAACCGGCGAGGCGGGAAAGGGTTTTTTCCTCAGCCGGAGGCTCGTTTCCAATACGGGGAAAGTAACAGTAACAGAGTTGGAAGGGACCTTGGAGGTCATCCAGTCCAACCCCCTGCTCACGCAGGAGACCTGTACTAGGGATTCGAACCGCCGAACTGTAGCTCAGTCTCTGCTCCCCAGCAGCTCCACGTTCAGGTGTGTATCCTGGGCGGCTGTACACACACACGTTCATTGTGCATCTTGATTCTTGAGGTGTAATTTCAGCTTTGGACTGTTTTGAAGCCCATCTCTTCCAATGTCCCTCTTAGTGTATTGAGAGGTGTTGTAAAAGCCAACCTTCCTTCACTGGAGCAGAGGATTCTAAAGGGGCAAATTGCAGTTCACACCTGCTCCTTTGAAATCAGAGTTTCTCCCCCCCCACCACCTTTTTTTTCCCCCTCCTTTCCAATCTTGTTTTTTTCCTGTGCCCCTCCATCCAGTGCCAAATGCAGTCGTGCGACAGTAACTGGTGCATTTTCGGACATCTCCCAGGCACAGTTACATTTTGCTTTTCTGCGACCTCCTCAGATGTGCCCTGACCCACCTGCTAATTTTTCATCCGTGGCCTCCTTGAAATATCCAAGGGCTCCAGGAGCCCCATATGGTCCCAGTTGTAAACCTCTCTTTTAAATTACACATTTAATGTGCAGTGAGATTGGGTGCATTTTTGTCACAGGCCTCTCCGCTTCTTTTATCTAGCCTGCCTTGCAAGGTTCTTGTAAGCTTCCTTGAAGCCGTCAGGAATGAGAAAGACATATAAGGAATAGTAACTAAAATCCGGACCTGCATTTAAACCTTCTCAAGTCTTATAACTTACCCCATTTTTTTCATATTCTGCACCAAGATGCTCCCTTAAAAGGGCTGTTCAAGTTTTTTTTTTTTTTTCCGAGACAGGGAGGGAGAAGATTACCATGGCATGGTGACCTTTCTGGGCAGATAACTTTCATGGTTTACTGATGAGCTGTCTTCCACCAATGTTTAATCTTTAATTAAACATGATCCTTTCAGACCCTTTTGATTCTTGCCCTCTCACCAGCATGTTCTATCCAGAGAGAGAGATAATTCATTTTCTTTCCCAGCTGAACACTGACTAGAATAACTAATATGCTAGAATACTTTTGTGGCTGGACTTAAAGTGCTTAATAAAGCATCTGCTGTTTTGCATTGCATCAGTTGCATGAACCTTTTACCCCAATTAGCAGTCATGCAGGAGAACCAAAAGAGAAAAATAGACGAAAGTAAAGAAAGGGGGACCTCTGTATCCATCCAGAAGTGGTGGGTAGGACAATATTCAAGTCTGGAAGGAGATGTGGAACTGAATCTGAAGGTCCCTTGAAAGACCAGAGGTGTATTTTGAGATTCTCCTATACATGGAGATGATGTTACCTGTAGAAGGGCAGCTAGAAAAACAGGAATCTTTTGCCTCTGGCATTCCCTTCGGGAGAAACCTGCTCTAATTGTTTTTTGCCCTGGTTATGGTCAGATTATACCACTTTTTGTGTATTCCATCCAATGCTTCCTTTTAAGATGGTGCAGATGCTTCAGCCAATGAAGAATGCAGCCCATCTGGTTGCTGGCTAGAGATTGGCAATGGGCCAGCATCAGCTGTAGCCTGAACATCTAGAGGTCCAGTTTAAAAGACCAGCCTCTAAATGACTTGCAGCCAATTTATTTAAAGGATCACTTGAAACTGTACAAACCGGTGCAGGCCTTGAGGTGTTTCACGGAGACCTTTTAGTTTATCACTCAGTTACAAGGGATATGGCCTTTTCTACAGTCGTTGCATCTTTTTTTGAATGCTCTTCTGCTGGAAATATCTCCTGGCTTCCTTTCTGACCATTTCCACCTGGATTTTAGAGAGCTGGATAATCTTTCCTGCTTGTAACTGCACAATGATATTAGATGGCTTTTAATGGTCACATGTATTTATGCATTTAAAGTTGTTCTGAGGGCCTTGGTTTTAAAAGGTGGCATAAAATATTTAAGTGCTGTAAGTAAAAATGCGAACATGGAGCCCAAAGGAAATGTGAGACCATCTATAAAAGGTTCAAAATGCAAAAAGACTGTCAATCACCTGTAGGAGCTGAGATTTCTGTTTTTTTAAGAAAACACCACTATGCTATTTAAACATTACAATGGGACAAAGAGTAGGAGCCTTGGTTGAATCATCCCAAGAATCACATTTGTTAGTTAATGCCTGTGTGATGTCCTTGTGCAGTCAGTTTCCTGAGTGATGCACTTTATCTGGCTCATACTTTACTCTACAGCATTGTCTATATAACAATGGTTTATTAAACAAATCATAATTGACTGGATTTGCCCAACATGCTAACTATATACTGCATCAATGTGTTGACACAATAGGCTGACCAAATTCGTGTTATGTCTTGTTATGAAGGGTCAATCCAGTCATGATCTTTTAACTAAGCGTACTTCAAATTGCTTTTATAAGGAGAAAATGAGAAGGACAGGGTACAAACTAGTTAAACTGTTCATAATTCTTTTTTCCTTTACTCATCCTGTCTGACTGAGGCTAACACCTCATAAAAGTAACAGAATCAACTCAAATTCACAAAAGCTTATAATCAAACATAGGTCACTCTTATTCTGCCTTATTCAGGAGACATTCTTGTGTAAAATAGAAGTCCAAATCCATTCATTTTTAAGATCACAATTCTTCTTCCCATGTTATAGACAAAGTGATTTCCGTAAAACTCAATCCCTTCTAAAGACTTGGATGATTGGAGCATAGATAGTTCATTTAAGCTTGCCAAAGCCTTACATTTTTTTTGTTGTTGTAGCTCCATTTTGTTCTCCACTGGTTCTTGTTCATAGAAGTCAGTAGCCTAGCAAATAGGCTAAACCCCCAAATACTGAAATAACTCTTGATTATATGAGTTATTAATTAATTCAATTACCTTGAATGCAAATTTTGATTTATCTGATCATTCCAAATATTGAATCATATTTTGCATGGTGAATCCATTCTGTGTTGATTTGTTTGTTTGTTTGTTTGTTTGATTAATTATGTGCCATCAAGTTGCTTTCAAATCCTAGCAACTACATAGATATTCTCCATGATAATCTATCCCTAACACATTACATGTTGAGCCTAGGGCAATTCCTGCTTTCCTAAATATCCTAAGTTGTCCTATCTTATTCTCAGTGTCACTATATTTTTCCTTCCATCTACAGTAGACTTCCATTTAAGCTGCTCAAAGTCACCTTGAACCATGAGATAGGGGGCACATAAATTTGATAATAATACTGCAATAACTGACAACTCCATTTGCTAAAATTGTGAGCATGTATGTAGAAGCAGAATGCTCATTTTAAAAATAGAATTGAATAGAATAACAGAGTTGGAAGGGACCTTGGAGGCGTTTTAGTCCAATCCCCTGCTTAGGCAGGAAACCCTATACCAGTGATGGCTAACCTTTTTGCCATCGTGTGCAGGAGTGGGAGGGAAGTTGGCGCTCGTGCCCACACCCATAATTTTATGCGCCCCGCCCTGCACATGCATGCCCAACCCCCTCCCCCCCTCTCCTGGCCTCTCTAGGAGTCTCTGGGGACGGCAAAAAAGTCACTTCCTGTCCAACCGGGAGTTGGGAAATGGGCCGTTTCAGGCCTCCAGAAAGCCTCCGAGAGGGTGGGGAAGGCTGTTTTCGCCCTCCCCAGATGCATAGAGAGGATCTGGAGCCAGGTGAGAAAGAAAAACAGGCCTTCCCCACCCCACTCCCAGGCCCTCCGGAGGCAGGAAGCAGCCTGTTTCCCTACTTCTGGTAGGCCCAGAGGCCCGAAAATCAGCTGGCCGGCAAGCACATGCACACCAGAGCTGAGCTGGTGTGCCCATTGATACAGCTACGCATGCCACCTGTGGCACACATGCCATAGGTTCGCCATCACAGCCCTATACCATTTCAGACAGATGGTTGTCCAATCTCTTCTTAAAAACTTCCAGTGTTGGAGAATTAACAGCTTCTGGAGGCAAGTTGTTCCACTGATTAATTGTTCTCCCTGTCAGGAAATTTCTCCTTAGTTCTAAGTTGCTTCTCTCCTTGATTAGTTTCCACCCATTGCTTCTTGTTCTACCCTCAGGTGCTTTGGAGAATAGCTTTGCTCCCTCTTCTTTGTGGCAGCCCCTGAGATATTGAAACAGTGCTAAATGTTCTTGATAGTTTATAACATACCTATTTCTAACTTGCCATTGTCCAGAAAATCAAATTTTGTCCGTTTCACTTTTGAACACTGCAGTTTTACATCATCCTAGTGCAGTATTTTTCAACCTTGACAACTTAAAGTTGCACTCCAGATGTCTTAAAATTGTTGAAAAATACTGCACTAGGGTATGTGTGCATGTGTGTGTGTGCATGAGTTTGTGTGTGTGTGTGTGTATCTGTGTGCACATCTTTAAAAGTAATCATCTGGCAGATCTTGTAATGAGTTGACACTTTTTCCCCTATGGCTCAGAAAACTGGTTAATCCACAATTAACTTCTTTTCCCTCTGGTGATGTTCTTGGGAGTAAGATCGTTTATATATGAATTGCAAAAAACTCCCCAAATTTCT